GGTTTTGGCACTGTGAGCAGGTGCCAGGTTGTGCTGAAAAATGAAATCTTCATCTCCATAAAGCTTTTCAGCAGTTGGAAGCATGAAGTGCTGGGAGACTTCAACGTCCATATGGATGAAGACAACAACCCCTTCACCAGAGACTTTTCATCCTGCCTTGAAAGCTGTGGCTTCCAGCAATTCATCAACTTTCCCACCCACATAAAGGGTCACACCTTGGACTTACTCTGCTGCTCAGGACTCACTCCTCTTAACTGTACCTCTGCTGAACTTCCATTTACTGGTCATTTGTTGCTTTCTTTTAGTGTCAATCTTAAATTTTCTTTTACCAAACCTCAGCACACTCTCTTTTCATTATATTAAGAATATAAATCATGGTGTTCTTCTTTCCCTTATTGACAATGCTTTCTCCTCCTTCAGCTCCTCTAACCTGGACAATCTTGTCTCTTTTTACAATAACAGCCTCACAAACATCCTTAACTCTGTCGCCCCGTTGAAAACTCGGTCTGTCTCCTTCGCAAACTCTGCACCATGGTTCACTCCAGAACTCCGTTCATTGAAATCCAAAGGTCAGAGGCTGGAGCGCCTCTATAAGAAAACCAGTCTCACAATTCACAAGGAACTCTATAAAAACCACATCAAACTGTATAAGGACAGTATTTCTCAAGTCATATCCAGCTACTTCTCTAACATCATCAGTTCCAATACTGGCAACTCTCAGACGCTTTTCTCTCTCCTCAACTGTACCGTCTCATCTCATAACTCTTTGCCCTCTCACATGGTGTCCACTGATTTCTGTAACTCTCTTATGTCCTATTTTAACGAAAAAATTCTGTCCATTCACAAACATCTTGGACCAATCACCGCTCGCAGCTCACATGTTGAACCCCCCTCTCCCTCCCTCCACCTCTCTGTCTTCTCCCTCCCCCCTGCAGCTGACATTTCTGACATCATTAGCAAGTCAAAGCCCTCATCCTGCCAGCTTGATCCATTTCCCACTGTTCTTTTTAAATCCTGCCTCCCGTCTCTGCTCCCTGTCATCACCACTATTATCCACTCCTCCCTGACCTGTGGTGTTGTTCCCACAGCTTTTAAATCAGCAGCCATTACCCCCATCATCAAGAAACCTTGTCTCGGCCCAAGTAACTTGAATAATATTCGCCCAATCGCTATCATTTCCAAGATTCTTGAAAAAGTTGTAGCTAGTCAACTCTACATGCACCTTTCCAACAATAACCTTTATGAGGAGTTTCAATCTGTTTTTTGCCCCCACCACAGCACCGAAAGCGCCCTCATAAAAATCACCAATGATCTTCTCCTTGCTGCCGACTCTGGTCTCCTGTCAGCCTCATCCTCCTTGACCTAAGTGCTGCTTTTGATACAATCTCTCATTCTATCCTCCACAACAGACTCACTTCCATTGGCATCTCAGGTACTGCGTTTAACTGGTTCAAATCTTATCTTTCTGACCGCATTCAGTTCATCCAGATCAAATCCTTCCGTTCTCAGTCATCCCTTGTCTCCACCGGCATGCCCCAAGGCTTTGTGCTTGGACCCCTTCTCTTCTTCACTTACCTCCTTCCTCTTGGCTACATTTTCTGCAAGTTTGGTGTACGTTTCCATTGCTATGCCGACGACACTCAGCTCTATCTGTCAACCAAGCCAAACTCTACTCACCCTCCCTCCATCCTCTCTGACTGTCTCCTTGAATTCAATCACTGGTTTTCTGATAATTTCCTTCAGCTGAACAGCGATAAAACAGAAATCATCCTTGTCTGTACTAAAAATAACATCTCAAAATCTAATAATCTCCTCATCCCTATCAACAACTCTCTGCTAACCCCCTCCCCTCAGGTAAAGAGTCTTGGTGTCATCCTCGACACCACTCTCTCGCTCACGGCTCACATTAGTAATGTTACTCGGTCTGCTTACTTCCACCTCAGAAATATAAACCGTTTACATCCATCTCTCACACTCCGCACCACAGCCATCCTTGTCCACAGTCTTGTGACCTCATGGATCAACTACTGCAACTCTCTTCTTTTTGGCCTGCCCAACAATCCCTCTATAAGCTTCAGATGGTACAGAACTCAGCTGCACGTGTCATCACCCAAATGTCCTCCCATAACCACATCACTGGGGTCAAATTATGAATCGCTTTCAAAATTCTTCTCACATTTAAATCTATCCACCATCTTGCCCATCCTTACATGTCTGACCTCATACACATCTCCATCCCCTCCCGCTCTCTCCAATCATCTTCTTCCCTAAATCTCCAAGTACCCTCTGCCCGACTCTCCACCATGGGGAGCAGGGCCTTGACCTGTTCTGCACCTCTCCTCTGGAACTCTCTACCACCTGACCTAAGAAACACCACCTCTCTTCCTGTGTTCAAGTCTGCTTTGAAAACACATCTCTTTAAATTAGCATGTCCATCTTAGCTTCATTTGTAAACAATTCTGTGTAACACATGCCTGCTTGTCTATAACTGTATTTCCACACATTCTTCAATGATGTGTCTAATGCTGTAAGTGTGCTTGGGTGTCCTGAAAGGCGCTTTTCAAATAAATTATTAAGTGCTCCAAAATCTCCTGATAGCTAGCTGCATTGACCCTGCCCTTGATAAAACACAGTGGACCAACACCAGCAGCTGACATGGCACCCCAGACCATCACTGACCGACAACTCTTCTGGTTGTGCAGCGTTTTCTGCCACACTTTTTCCCACTGAGGTGCCTTGAT